CATAAAAAAACTTTCAGATTAAAAAAGAGAATGCCTTTATCAATTCTGAGTAGGAAAGAATTTCTTAAACAAAACACATGAAGCGCAAACATAAAGGAAAAGATTAATAACTTTGAAAATATTAAAAATAAAATTTCTGGTCAAAAAGCATATCTCTGAGAGAAAACATGAGCCACCGACAAGAAGATATTTGCAAAATATTAAAAAAGGGTTAGTATCCAAAATATGTAAGATATGAAAAAGTTAACCCAGTAGACAAATGGACATAGGAATGAAAAGGCAAGTCATACGAAAAGCCTAAGGAAAAATGCTCAACTTCACTAATAATCAAGGAAATGCAAAATTAAAAATGAGATACCATTAACATTTATCAGACTGGCAAAGATAAAATGTGACAATATCAGATATTGGTATGGATCTGAGGAAACACAAACCCTACATATTTGTGATGACAATGTAAATTGGTGGGCTGTTTGGCAATTAACCTAGTAGAGTTGAAGCAATTCCACTTATAGGAATTACCTTAGAGAAACTAACATCTATTTGCATATGAAGGGACTTGTAAAAGAAGTCATTTATTCATTCAAAAAACACCCACTGGATTTCTACCGTGTGTGAGGCACTGTTCTAGGCTGTGAATACAGCAATGAACAAAGAGTTATGACCTCATGGAGGTGGACACAATCACTATATTTAGGGATTTTTTTTGTATGTTTGCTAAATATTTGATAATGAAAATTTTTTAATGTTAATAAAAATGCTTATGTCTGACGTGTAGTAGAGTCTCAAAATTTAGTAGGCATCAGTGTTCACTTATATAGTCCTAGGTGTCTTACTTTCCATAAAGATTATTTCCTTCAAATCTCTCCTCTTCTGACACAATGTCTCTAGTTGGAATCATGGATTCTCCACCCAACCCTCCCACTTCACAGATGATAAGACTGAGGCCCAGGGAGTGATTTGGCTTACTCCATGATCTCCTGATTTTCTTCTAGGGTCTGCAAACTGGCAAGTACTGTAGATAGGGATGAGGAGCAGAATTTAAAAAAAATTTTTTTAACT